GACCCTGCTTGGGCAGGGGGTTGGGCTGGGTGACCCACAGAGGGCCCTGCCAACCCCGACCATTCTGGGATTCTGTGAAATCGCAATGTTGCCCTCAGCGTGGCGAAGGCGGACGGGCAGTTGGAGGGCACGGAAGTGCAGAACGCTGTCAGGGCTGGAGCGGGCAGTGCAGTTTGGCCGGGTGGCGGCTCTGTGGAGGTCGGGCTGGTGGGGCCTGACGCAAAGCTTGGTTCCGCAGACGGAGAGCGGCGCGTCTCTCCTGACATTAGCACTGTTGCCTTCAGCGCTGGAGGAGATGGTTGTCGTGATTACCTGGTGGTGCTGAAGGCAGGCGAAAGGGCTTGAAAAGGGGACAGGCAGCTCCGACCCGCTCCTGTCTGCAGCTCCCTAACGTTTTTGTTTAAAACTTCCTCAGGCTCGTTCCGTCAGGACCATCCTAGCAGCATGAACGTATACGGACAGGAATCCGGAGGCTTTTCAGGCCCAGGGGAGAACCGGAATATGAGCGGCCCTGATAACCGGGGCAGGGGACGAGGGGGATATGATCGCGGAGGCATGAGCAGAGGTGGGCGGGGAGGAGGACGCGGTGGAATGGGGTAAGAGCAAATCTTTTCTCCTTTTATCTAATTCTGGTTTACCAGTAGGATTTGAAACAGAAAGAAGGGACTGAAAGGTTGACCTTCCCGACGGTGCTTCCGTGGGGAACATGTCCGTAGCAGCATTGCTTCTAATCCATGGAAATCTCACCCCAGGGGAAATAGGAGCAGGAGCCGATTGTTTTACGATCCTGCAGCTGGTTGGGCCCCGGGGGGAATGAGGGGTATTGCTAAACCTGGAACTTTCAGCTCCCTTCGCGGTGGCGCAGAGGTGAAACCCTCTGCGGGGATTAACGATAACGCTGGGTCGAACACACACAAACCTTCCGCCAGGTCCAGGAGTCGCTCCCTGCGCCTCGGTCGCGGGGTCTTGGGGGGCAGAAGCCTCGTGGCAGCCCCCTGTCAGGGCGCCCGCCTCTCCGCCTTCCCAGCCGCGCGCAGATCTGCGCCTGGCCGCG